AGTCGCAGTAAGAATAATCACTAAATCCCATCCCTGGTAACACCCCCTTCCCCACTCTTCATAGATCTAAACTTACTCCCTGTTCAGTACATCCACACTTACTACTGTGCAATCTACATCTACAGGACCTTAAATTTCAATATTAACCTTGACCTAAAACGCTTTCTTGATAGTTGTGACAGAACCCACAGGCATAACACCAGACACAAACATCTCTATGACATTCCCATGTCCCACTAAACCTTTACAAAAATTCAATGTATGTCAAAGGCCCTAAAATCTGGAACACCCTACCTGAAAACTCTAGAACTGCAGACACATTCATCACCTTCAAAACTACCATTAGAAAACATCTTATCTCCCTGATACACCCCGTCAACTAACTACACGAATACCACCTGGTGGGTCACACTTACACTCACTCACCCGTTTGACCATAAACAGAAATATCAATCTCAATCTTAAAATAATGAATCCTAACTAGTCATAAGTTGGCCTGTGATACTCCAGTACTGAAACTATGTATTGTGCCAAAACAAAAGCATTCACATTGCTAAACTCACAAACTAGTATTTAGTCACTTAGCCATAATACCAACATACCTCATAATTTGTAATATTTTAAATTTAAGAATTAATCTAAGTCTGCCTGAAATGCCTAGCCATGCTAGGTGTTCTAGTGGCACCTTCTGTAATTAGTATTTTACTACATGTAAACCACAGTAACCAAATTCTGTAAACTCAGCAATGTAATCCTTATAGAGAATAAACTTTGAATTTGAATTTGAATTTGAAAAAAGAAAGAAAAAAGGAAAGGATCAAATCAAATCAAATCAAATCAATTTTATTCTCTAAAAGGGTTACAATGTGGGGTTTACAGGATTTGGATATTGTGTAGTTTACATGTTATAAAATACTAATTACAGAGGGGGCCACTAGGACACCTAGCATGGCTATGCATTTCGGGAGACTTAGATTAATTCTTAACATTAAATCCTTACAGATTATGGTATTAAGTCTAGGTGACTACATTATAATTTGTGAGTTTAGCAATGTGAATGCTTTTGTTTTGGCACAATACAAGGTGTCTATATTGGAGTATCATAGGCAAATATGACTAGATAGGATTCATTATTTTAAGATTAAGATTAGTATTTCTGTGTTTATAGTCAGTGGGTGAGTGTGTGTATTTGTGAACCACCAGGTGGTTTTCATGTAGTTAGTTGACGGGGTGTATCAGGGAGATAAGATGTTTTCTAACTGTAGTTTTGAAAGTGATGAGTGTGTCTGCAGTTCTAGAGTTTTCAGGTAGGGTGTTCCAGATTTTAGGTCCTTTGAAATACATTGAAATTTTGTAAAGGTTTAGTCGGACACAGGGAATGTCATAGAGATGTTTGTGTCTGGTGTTATGCCTGTGGATCCTGTCACAACTATCAATAAAGCGTTTTAGGAGGGAGGAAGTCTTTTATTTTGTGTGCGAAGGGTTTGGGCATAAAGCAGGTATGTGTGAGCGTAAGTGGAGACGAATGGTTTTTGGGACTTGACTAGCTGTTGGAGTGTGAGCAGGGTATATTTTGTGAAGGGATTCAGTCAAACCAGTTAGCCAGACTTGAGTCCTGGAGGTGGGAAGTACAATGCTTACACTTTAAAGGAGGGGTTCGGGATATTTGCTGTTTGGAGTGACATGAACTGTCATATCTGCGGGCCTCTGCAAAGACAGTACTCATCTAATTGTAGTTGCAGAGGTCGAGACTCAGCTCCTGGCCCCGCCTCTTCACTGATCGCTACTAGGTCCTCTCTCTGCTCCCTGAGCTTTGTCATACTTCGTCTTAAAGCTATGTATGGTTCCTGCCTTCACTGCTTGCTAGACTATTCCACTTCCTGACAACTCTATGACTGAAGAAATACTTCCTAACATCCCTGTGACTCGTTGGAGTCTTCAGGTTCCAATTGTGACCCCTTGTTTCTGTGTCCCCTCTCTGGAACATCCTGTCTCTGTCCACCTTATATATTCCACACAGTATTTTGTATGTCGCTATCATGTCTCCCCTGACCCTTCTGTCCTTTAGTGTCGTCAGGCCGATTTCCCCCAACCTTTCCTCATAGGACATTCCCCTGAGTTCCGGAACTAACCTTGTTGCAAACCTTTGCACTTTCTCTAATTTCTTGATGTGCTTGACCAGGTGTGTAAGTAAGTAAGTTATTTAGGTATACACAAATACAGTTACATAGATTATCATACATAGCAGCATATGTGTAAAGTACCTAGGATAACCCAAAAAAGTCAGACAGAGTGACTTATTGCCATTGGGGTCCTTTTACCTTATTATTATAATATAAAGGTGATAATATCTTATTATTATTCTGTAAAGGAGATAACATCTTATTATCATACTATTAAGACTACCACACGAGGGTCATTAAGACTACTACACAAGGGTCATTAAGACTACTACATGAGGATCATTAGGTCTACAATACGGGTCATTACCAGGAATAAGGTAAAATTACACGTGTCTTAGCTAAAAAGAGTAAAAAATCATAAAAATTCATTCCCCTCCCTTTCTGTAGGTTCCACTGGGCCTAACATATACAGTGTACAGTGTTTTGAACAGTTCCTTATTAAAGTATCGGAATGCTGTTCTTAGTTTTGCCAGGTGCCCATATGCTGCAGCAGTTATCTGATTGATTTGTGCTCCCGGAGATGTGCTCGGCATTATGCTCACCCCAAGATCTTTCTTCTTGAGTGAGGTTTGCAGTCTTTGGCCACCTAGCCTATACTCTGTCTGTGGTCTTCTTTGCCCTTCCCCAATCTTCATGACTTTGCATTTGGTGGGGATGTATTCGATAAGCCAGTTGCTGGACCACGTGTTCAGCCTGTCCAGGTCTCTTTGTAGTCCTGCCTGATCCTCATTTGATTTAATTCTCCTCATTAACTTCACATCATCTGCAAACAGGGACACTTCTGAGTCTATCCCTTCCATCATGTCATTCACATAGTATACCAAAAATAGCACTGGTCCTAGAGTTGACCCCTGTGGGACCCTGCTCGTCACAGGCACCCACTGTGATACCTCATCACGTACCATGACTCAGTGTTGCCTCCCTGTCAGATATTGTCTGATCCATTGCAGTGCCCTTCCTGTTATACGCGCCTGATCCTCCAACTTCTGCACTAATCTCTTGTGAGGAACTATGTTGAAGGCCTTCCTACAGTCTAGGAAAATGCAATCAACCCACCCCTCTCTCTCGTATCTTACTTCTGTTACTTTGTCATAAAACTCAAGAAAGTTTGTGATGCAGGATTTGCTTTCCATGAATCCATGCTGGTTGTTGTTTATAATCTTGTTCCGTTCCAGGTGCTCCACAGGCTTCTTATTTAAAATACTCATTTGTACTTCGTTGTACACTAATTTGTTTACTGTAATTTTTACCACTGAATATATCATTGCTTAGTTAATCTTAGGTTAATTTTAAGCCTGCCCATAATGCTCTGCATACAAGGGGCTTTTGGTACGTACACCTAATCACTATATTTCTTTGTACAACTATGTATCATGTCCAAATAAAAAATAAATAAATAAATGACATACTACTATATAGAAAGCCTTTTGTTATGCAGAGCATTTCGGGCAAATTAGGTCAGTTTTGTCCCAGGATGCGACCCACACCAGTTGACTAATACCCAGGTACCCATTTTAAACTGTTGGATGAACAGGGACAGGGACAGCAGGTGTCTTATGGAAACATGTCCCTAATATTTTTTTCCAGCCATACTGGAGGAGATTCGAACCCAGGACCTCAGTGTGTGAGCTGAGTGCGCTAGCAATTGAGCTACAGAACATTAGGAAACACGTCCTAATGTTTCCACCCTACCAAGGATCGAATCATGGACCTCAGTGTGTGTGGGCTGAGTGTGCTAGCACTACAAAAATGTTTTTGTGAGAAGAGCAAGTTTCAGGCTAGGGTATGTAGGAAAGGTGATTAATGTACATATTTGTAATTAGTATCATACAAATAGTTAATGCTAGTGTGTTGGGGAAAGGTATGTGCTTATTGAAAGATAATGAATTTGGTATGACTCAGCTGCTCTTTGCTTATTAAACAACACTTTTGAGAAATTTATAAGAGAAGTTGCTAAAGGTTGGCAAAGGAGTTTAAGAGAGTGTGTAAAAGAATGAAGTTGAAAATGAACACAGAATAGAGCAAGGTTATGAGAGTAAGAAATAGTCTAGTTGGTGAAAAGTTGGCTGTCAGATAGGAGGGAGGGAGTATGAAGGAAATAAATGTATTTACATATTTAGGAATGGATGTGCTGGCACATAGGTGTATGAAGTACAATACTAAGTAAATCATAATTTAGATGAGGGGAGAGAATGGTAGATGGAGTATTGAGGCATCTGTGGAATTAAACCAATTTACCAGTTGAGATAAAATTTTCTATAGCCTTTTCTGAGCAGTGAGTCTGTCTGGAAAGAGCATATCAAAGTGTTGTTGGAATGACTGAGTCATCAACAACACTCATGCCACTGTGGAAGTGACATGAACAAGCTTTTTCACTTAAAGATGTTCTAAGTGCCCTGCAGCAAGAATGTTAGTCACTAACATTTAGTATGGAAGACCAAGTTGAATGGTCACATAAGTGAAGTTGTCCACTTTGTTGAGAGGCTTGAACTGAACCAAGACATGCAGTCAGAGTGCAGGTGCTTAGAAGACAATTTCTAGCGTTATAGAGGTTATACCAACATGTTGCCATTCATACAAGTGGTTTGTGGCACCTGAACACAGCTACCATGAACTATGAACAGTCCCATCAGATATTCCCTGATCCTTACAGTACTGTCCCTGCTATTCCTGCCAGCTCCTCTAGCTTTTCAGCCTGTCTCTTGTGTGGTACAGTGTCGAGAGCCTTCTTACATGAATTGTGCTTTAACTATATAATCAGCATAGTTTTTTAGTATTAATAAAATAATTTTTAATTAATTTTAGCATTGTTTACAGGATATAGTTGAGGAACCTCGTTTGTTTGTTGAAGGAGCAAGTGCTAATGATGTAACGCAAGGTCAGCTGGGCAACTGTTGGTTTGTTGCTGCCTGTGCTACTCTTGCAGGTGTCAAGGAGCTTTGGAATAGAGTAAGTTGTCATTTACATATATTACACCAGTTATTTGTATTAGATTTTGTTATTTGCCTTCTGTATACATGTATTATTTAGATAAATATGTGACTGAATATTTATAAGCAGTTTTTTGGTTTAGTCTTTTGTATAAACTTATTCATGAGTGCTAAAAGCAAAGCATTTACAATATTTTCTTTTAGGAAGTTCTGCAAAAAGTAACCTACCCTTTTCCAAACAAGATGGATGGCTTAAATGTTAATATATCTATCCTTGTAGTCATTATTTAGCATTTTTGCAAAGTATAATTAATTTTTGCTCAATCTAAACATATAGAGTAGATAAGGGAGCAGTGTGACAGATGTTGCAGAACTGTGGAATAGGTACAGTAGTATACTATTAAATGCAATTAAGAATTTTTCTAAGGGTGAGGCTCAGATTAGGGTATGTAGGAGAGAAGGGGGACCATTTTCCAGTAAAAGTAGGCTTTAAATAGGGATATATAATGTCACCATGGTGTCTTAATATATATATAGATGAGTTTATAAAAAATAAATTCTATAGTGTTGGGGAGAAATGTGGGATTAAAAGATAATGAATCTGGTATGAAGTTGATGTTGTCATAGTGTATATGTTATAAAAGTTTCATCTGTATAACTCTCTTTTATCCTGGTAGCATCATAATTTGTTAAGTTTAATTAGTTTTCTAACATTGCAGGTAATACCAGATTACAAAGACCAAGAATATGGAGAGCTGCATCCTGGAATCTTCCACTTTCGATTCTGGAGGTTTGGAGAGTGGCTTGATGTTGTCATTGATGACCTTTTGCCAACCATTGACGGACAGCTAATATTTACTCATTCAAGAGAAAAAGGAGAGTTTTGGTGTGCCTTACTGGAGAAAGCATATGCTAAACTGCATGGATCATATGAAGCATTAGAAGTATGTTTTATGGATATCACTTTATTGCAAAAATTCACAGCTAATCATAGTTTACTTGAGTTAACATAATTTCGTTGTTAGGTGTGGCTGGAACAGGATCTCATATATGATGTTAATGTAATAGTACTTTATATGTTGAATGTAAGCTTGTTAGTAGTCATGTGATTCCATTGAGTAATTTTTTGAGTTTACCATTTGTTAGTATACTATTATTTTGAGAGCCAGACTAAACATGAGATGGCAAATATGGCATCATTTGAGAAAGCTCCAACTGAATTCCTGGGATGCACTTGGTTGGGAATAACTGTAAGAAAGGAGTAGCAGAGAGGGCCTAGAATGCTACCTTCTGATTCCCTTATGTTTATGGGTAAGTTATTGATGAAATGTCATTTCTGAACACATGTTGGCATTCACTCCTGAAATAGGAATTGATGAAGTGAGTTGTAGCCTCTAATCTCATAGTGCTGCAGTTTAAGAATGATGCGTATCAAATGCTTATTTTTTAAGTCATTGAAAAAAGGCATAGTGGATATTCATTGTTTTTTGGTGATGTATAGATTGTTTCATACATTATATTATTGCTTTGTTTGTATATACAGTAGAACTCCCCTATCCACTGATTCAGTGTTCACGGTTTCAGTTATCCATGGTTTACTGTAGCCCAAAAATACTTCTTAATTTTGCTTAATAATGGCCCCAAAGCACAAAAGTAGAGAAGCTGGCAGTTCTTCAAACCTAAGAGAAGCCATGAAGTGCTTCCCTTCAGTGAAAAAGTGATAATTCTCAACTTATTGTGCATAATTTATCAATTAATTTATCATTGATTGGCAGAGAGAGCTAGCTGACAGCAATAATATTGACAAAGATATCAAGACTTTTTTACATAAAACCCTAAACCTCTATAACACATTGATCAAAACGAAGCAGATCACAGAAAAGAGGCTAAACAGCCCATGGCTAACAAATAGTATCCTCAAATCTATTGATAAAAAGTACCAACTTGAAAAACAGTTCAGATTTGCTCTGATTACTAAAGAACTGGGTAAATGATACACATCAACACTCACAAAACTAATACAAAAATCAAAGCAAATATTTATTTTTTTTATTTATTATCACACTGGCCGATTCCCACCAATGCAGGGTGGCCCGAAAAAGAAAAACTTTCACCATCATTCACTCCATCACTGTCTTGCCAGAAGGGTGCTTTACACTACAGTTTTTAAACTGCAACATTAACACCCCACCTTCAGAGTGCAGACACTGTACTTCCCATCTCCAGGACTCAAGTCCGCCTGCCGGTTTCCCTGAACCCCTTCATAAATGTTACTTTGCTCACACTCCAACAGCACGTCAAGTATTAAAAACCATTTGTCTCCATTCACTCCTATCAAACACGCTCACGCATGCCTGCTGGAAGTCCAAGCCCCTCGCACACAAAACCTCCTTTACCCCCTCCCTCCAACCTTTCCTAGGCTGACCCCTACCCCGCCTTCCTTCCACTACAGACTGATACACTCTTGAAGTCACTCTGTTTCTCTCCATTCTCTCTACATGTCCGAACCACCTCAACAACCCTTCCTCAGCCTCTGGACAACAGTTTTGGTAATCCCGCACCTCCTCCTAACTTCCAGACTACGAATTCTCTGCATTATATTCACACCACACATTGCCCTCAGACATGACATCTCCACTGCCTCCAGCCTTCTCCTCGCTGCAACATTCATCACCCATGCTTCACACCCATATAAGAGCATTGGTAAAACTATACTCTCATACATTCCCCTCTTTGCCTCCAAGGACAAAGTTCTTTGTCTCCACAGACTCCTAAGTGCACCACTCACCCTTTTCCCCTCATCAATTCTATGATTCACCTCATCTTTCATAGACCCATCCGCTGACACGTCCACTCCCAAATATCTGAATACATTCACCTCCTCCATACTCTCTCCCTCCAATCTGATATCCAATCTTTCATCACCTAATCTTTTTGTTATCCTCATAACCTTACTCTTTCCTGTATTCACTTTTAATTTTCTTCTTTTGCACATCCTACCAAATTCATCCACCAATCTCTGGAACTTCTCTTCAGAATCTCCCAAGAGCGCAGTGTCATCAGCAAAGAGCAACTGTGACAACTCCCACTTTATGTGTGATTCTTTATCTTTTAACTCCACGCCTCTTGCCAAGACCCTCGCATTTACTTCTCTACAACCCCATCTATAAATATATTAAACAACCACGGTGACATCACACATCCTTGTCTAAGGCCTACTTTTACTGGGAAATAATTTCCCTCTTTCCTACATACTCTAACTTGAGCCTCACTATCCTCGTAAAAACTCTTCACTGCTTTCAGTAACCTACCTCCTACACCATACACCTGCAACATCTGCCACATGACTTATGTATTATGAAAATAGACTAATTGAAATAAAAGGTGATATGAAAAGTACTTGGCAAACCCTCTCCAAAATTTTGGGCTCTAGAAAACCATCTGGAAACAGAGACATAAACTTAACTAAACCAGATGAACCTCACATACAGTGTACAAACACAGCCAACAAATTTAATGTCTTCTTCTCTACTGTAGGATCAAAGCTAGCAAGTAAAATTTCTAGCTCAAATACCCAGCTGAAAGACTACCCTACTGGCAACTACCCAAATACTCTATATCAAGCTCCAACTAATTCTACTAAAGTTTCACTTACAATTAAATCATTAAAAAACAAAGCAGGAGATCTGGATAACTTGCCACCATTCATATATAAAAAAGCTGCACATGTACTATTACCCATTATTGCAACAGTGTTTAACAAATCTGTAGCATCCTCAACCTTCCCATCTATACTCAAGACAGCAAGGGATACCCCGATCCTCAAAGGAGGTGATCCAACTGACTTGAACAACTATAGACCCATATCAAACTTGGCCTTACTTTCCAAAATATTTGAAAAAATAATACACAAACGACTTTACTCCTACTTTATATCCAACAACATACTTAACTCCTGCCAGCTTGGGTTTAGACTAAAAAAAAGTATGAATGATGCTATTATACAAATGCTTGAGCTAATATATACAGCTCTCGATAAAATTGAATATCCTCTGGGGCTCTTCATTGACCTACGAAAAGCATTTGATACAATCGACCTAAAATCTTATCTTAACAACAAACACCAGTATGTACATATGCAAATGGAGTCAACTCTGCTATCCAGCCTGTAGCTGTAGGAGTACCCCAGGGTAGTGTCCTAGGCTCACTCCTCTTTCTCATCTACATCAATGATCTTCCCAGTGCAACCCAACTCCTTAACCAGTTCTATTTGCAGATGACACTACTTATGTGTACTCCTATTCGAACCCAGCTGTACTTAGAAACACTGTAAACAATGAGCTGATAAAAATATATACTTGGATGATGACCAACAAACTTACTCTCATCATATGTACATGTACAAGCATATATATACACACCCCTGTGAGTTTTCTTCTATTTTCTTTCTAGTTCTTATTCTTGTTTATTTCCTCTTATCTCCATGGGGAAGTGGAACAGAATTCTTCCTCCGTAAGCCATGCATGTTATAAGAGGCAACTAAAATGCCGGGAGCAAGGGGGCTAGTAACCCCTTCTCCTGTATATATTACTAAATTTAAAAAGAGACACTTTCGTTTTTCTTTTTGGGCCACCTTGCCTTGGTGGGATACAGCCGGTTTGTTAAAAAAAAAAAAAGCATATACATATGTGTAGTGTGACCTAAGTGTAAGTAGAAGTAGCAAGACATACCTGAAATCTTGCATGCTTATGAGACAGACAAAAGACACCAGCAATCCTACTATCATGTAAAACAATTACAGGCTTTCGTTTTACATTCACTTGGCAGGATGGTAGTACCTCCCTCTGCGGTTGCTGTTGACCAACCTACTACCTAGGAGAGCCTTATATATCCAACTTAATATATTGATAAAAGGTTCCCCTATATCAAGATACACTTAGAGTAAATTTCTAAGTCTTCTCCTTGATTGTAATCTTAAATTTCATTCCCACATCCAGCACATATCCAAGAAAATTTCCAAATCAGTAGGCATCCTTTCCAAGATACAGTACTATGTACCACAAACGACTCCTTGCCCTATACCACTCTTTAATACACTTACCTCACCTATGGTATTTGTGCCTGGGGATCAACTATAGCTAACCACCTTAAACTTTTAATAACCCAACAAAAAGCTGCTTTGCAGATTATTACCAGCTCCTGTGCTAGACAGCACACCCCACCACTTTTCAGAAGCCTGAACTTGCTAAATATATGATACATACACTCATATTATTGTGCCTACTACATATACAGAACATTAAATTCCACTATAAACTCTCCACTTAAACTACTACTTGACAGTTTCAACAGAATGCACAGTCACAATACAAGGCATAAGGCACTCTTCGACATCCCTCGGGTCAGTCTCACTGTGCCAAAACCCTATGCACATAAAGGGCCTGAAGATCTGGAACACGCTACCAGAACTGGTAAAGGATCCCCTGACTACTTATAAATTTAGGACTTTGTTAAGAAATCATCCTATCTCTCAGTACTAACCAATTCAACCAGAACAGATGCTAATTAGTTACAGTATATTATGTGACCTCTAGATTTTTAAACTTTGTCAGTCCACGAAATATTACTGCCTGAACCATTATTTGTAATATTGTTGTTATTATGTGCAGCTTCAGGATTATTATTCTTAAAATCTCCACCTTGACTACCTTGCATTAGTATTAAGATTAAATAAAATTGTAATACAGTTAACCACTACTATCTTGTCTAGTTTTAAGTAGTTACTATGTACTATTATCTGTCTAGTTTGAAATAGTTACTATGTATTAGGATTAGTCTGCCCGAAATGCCCCGGCATGATAGTGGCTTTCTTTGTACTTAGCAAACCAAAATTATAATTACACATTGTAACCTTTACAAGGAAATAAACCTTTATCTTTATCTA